TTGTAGATAGTAGAGAAACACATACGATGTCACAAAAAACTTGTATATTTTGATGTTGAAATAACACAACTGATAAAAAAAAATAGCATACTTTATTAAATCTTCATTATTATTTTGCTTCTTAAATTTTCTATTTTTGTCTTATATTGGAGTCCACAAAACAACTTCATTTGTATTTATTTCATATACTATTATTTACAGTAATTATGTGAATTGATCACCCAGATATAGAAAAATGGGAAGAAAGTTTCGCAATTAATGCTAAATAGACATTCATAAATAACTCTTAGATGAGCGTTGATATTTCGTATCTGTTATAATTCAACTAATCTGATATTACATGATTGTGTTCATGGTTGCTATGTCTACTATGTTAATTTCATTCAAGTTGTATTGAATTTTTCATTTTTTCATGTAACTCAGTTTTGATTAATATGTGACAATATACTAATGATTGAATTCAATTGATGCAGTATTATCCAAACCTAAAACAGAATAGTTTTTCTTCACTTTGAAAAGATTGAAAGCATAACATGTGAAAAAATGAGATGGATATGATAGAATAGTAGTAGATGGTGTTTCATAATAGTCCCACATTGTTTGTATTATAAATATTTTTAGTGTTTATATATCTTACTCAAACACAACAAATCAATTGTAAGTTAGAAATATCTTACTCACACTGAAATAATTGCATTCAACAAAGCAATTATCTGTTCTCAATAAACTTAGTAATAGTAATCTAACAGTTATGTAAAAAATACATTGAGTAATAATTTTAAACTTCAATGAGAAATATAAAGGATTTTGAAGTCTCGGACAATGCATCAAAAGCTAATAGGAATAATCAATTTCCACTAAGCTTTCCCTGCTTGTTCAATTTGAGGTTTTTTTGGTTCCTTGATGCTCCAGTAGTATTTGCTAATTTGACGGGGATTTTCTGATTCAAACTCATACGGATCTTCCACCAAGTATTTTTGCCAAAATTGTGTATTAAATTCAGTAGTACCTGGTATTGGTCCAACAGGTTGTTCTTTCGATGTACCAGAGTCAGAAACAACGGTAACAACCGGCTCAGGTGCAACTGGATCAGGAACCGCGATAGCAGCTGGCTCTGGTACAACAGGATCATAAATAAAGATATCACCAGGATCAGGAATAATGGCTAAATCTGTCAGAAAGTTCATTATGTTTCTTGATGAATTGGACTGAACTTTAAAATCTAGTTGCGCACAAGACATTTCGGGTCTATGTGCACTATTCATAGAATCATCAAAGTCCAAGTTTGAACCAGTTTCATAAGACGTGTCGGAAACTTCTTTTACAAGATTTTCCCAAAACGTAAATGATGACTCCAGCCGATCCAATTGTTCCATGTTTATACCGAGAACGGATGCGCTCTCAGCGTTTGTCCCTGTGTTTACCGTAGATGGCAGGAGACTTGCCTCTTCAATGGATTTCTGCAGCACTTGACTAACGGAAGAGAGCAAACTTTGTTGATTAATTTCCAAATGTTGCAAACGATCATTTGAGTGATGTAACCGCATCTCATTCTGATTCCATTTCTCTTGCTGCCTCTGACGTTCCAAAAGTAGTTGTTCTTTTTCATATTTAAGTTTTTCTATCTGAGCTTTAAAATTCTGTCGCTCTGATTTTGTTAATGAAGCTGCAACAACACCAACACCAGCACCAGCACCAGAAGCGGAAGCCGCCGCAAGTTGGCTATGAGCATTAGGCGTAGAATGGCTAAACACTGGTCCGCGCCTGTGGATATTCTTGAGGAGATCTGGTTGATCTCTTACAAAATCTTCGTTGTAGAATTCCCACTGCTCTTGACCAATCTTTCTGAAGCCCTGATCATACAGAAAACCATAACACAGTTAAATAAGAAAATTAAAAAACAAAACAAAAATAAGAAAACAAACTCGCATAAATTTTTTACATGTGTTAACGGAAGTAATCAAGCTCAAGTAAGTCGATCGAAGTTAACAAGTTCAAATCAGTCGATCAAATTTAACAAATTCACAAAGATAAATTTTTCTAAAGCATCATCAAATTAAAAATCATAACACATCTCATTCAACTATAAAGAAAAACTTTAATGACAATAACTAAAAAAACACTAAACAAACAACATTAAAAAAGAACCAATCAAACTAACAAAGCAAAGAAAATTAGAAAGCACATTAAATTTGCTTACATATGTGTTAAGCATTAAGTTGTATGATGAAATTTGAGAAATTGTTATGCTTAAAGAATTTGGGCAACAAATATTTCAAAAATTCAAGTTGATTCCAAACAATGAAACTCCTGTCGGTAGAACTCCATGAAACAATGACATCAGTTGTAAGATCACCGACCATCATATAAGTCTTAGACAGACAAAGAGACACAAAATTTAAACTAATTTGATCTTGCTCCATCCTACCATTATCTCAAATTAAAAAAAAAAAACACACACACAAGAAATGATTTCTCACTCCTCAAATCCAAAAAAAACACACAAATATTGATTCCTCAAACACCCTTTAAATAGTAAAAAAAATTCTTATAAATTAAAAAAAAACAATAAAAATTCTTCTTTTTTTATTTTAGTAATTATCATCAATAAATCCTAAAATGACCCTTTTTTCCTTTTCAATTCCCAATTCAATAAAAATTAAATTTACAAAAAAAAATGGTTGTCTGTTTTTTATTCTTTCCAATGTTCATAATTTTTTCTTTGTCTTTATCTGCCAAAATCTCAAGGTACTTTGAACACTTTATAAACTTTATCTATCATTAAATTTATTATTTTCAAATAAACACTAAAATAATTTATTTTATAAATAACAAAATATAATATAATATTTCAAACTTATTAACTTAGTGACTAAGTTATAATTAACAAATAGTTATTCAAATATAATGTTTAAACAAGGAACATTTAAAATGTATTAACTATAAAAATTAAAAACAATACTTAAAATTTTATAAATTTAAATACTTAAAAATACTTTTAATAAATTATGTCATTCAAATCATTATAACTATAATATATGATTATCATATAAGTATTTATTAGTGTATAAATATATATAATATGGATATTTAATTATGTTTTTACGACGTATTTAATCAATTATATTTATTTATATATTATTATTAAAAATATTAATTAATTTATTTTTAAGTTTAAATAAAATAAAAAATTATTTTATTAAATTAGATAATACTCAATAGTCAGACACACAACTAACTTTCTATCTCACATATCACTATAATAAAAATATCTATTTTATTTTCATTATTTGAGATAAAAAAAATTACTTTCAAATGTCAAAATTTCTTTTTTTTTTACGGCTCACTATCAGCAAAATACATATTTTATTTTAATTTACAATTGTATTTATTTAAAACACAAAATTTTTATTTTTAAATGTTAAAATTTTTATTTTTCTAACCCGCCACTAACATCAAAATACATATTTTATATTAATTAACAATTACTTTTACCTGAGACACAAAATTCTTATTTTTAAATGTCAAAATTGAGTTTATATTATTATTATTGTTATTATACATTTTATAATTAAATAAATTATTTTAAATTTAAATATGTATCTAAATAAAATATATATCGTATTAAATAAATTCATTCAGCATGAGTATTTTGGTAGTTTCCAAATAAAAATTAAATAATTTATTTTATAAATAACAAAATATAATATAATATTTCAAACTTATTAACTTAGTGACCAAGTTATAACAAATAGTTATTCAAATACAATGTTTAAATAAGGAACATTTAAAATTGCATAAACTCGTATTTATAAAAATTAAAAATTATATTTAAAAATTTATAATTTTAAATAATCAAACATATTTTTAATAATTTATATTATCACAGTCAAAAAAAGTAATATAGTATTATAAAATTGGTAATATTAAATTATTAAAATTAAATGAGATTAATTAAAATAACTTTATTCATAGAAGAAAAAAATTATTTTTTTTTAGAAATTTGTTTTTGTTTTGACCAAAAAAATAAAATAACATAATTATTAAAGTTGTTAAACTAAAAAAAATTCTTACAATTATTCAATGGATTGTAATTTAAAATCCACTTTACGAGAGTTTAAAAGGAAAGAAAGGGTTTTGCAAAAAAGAAAAAAGAAACATAAATAAAATAAACAATGACTTTTTTTATAAGCTAAACAATTACTTTTTAACATGAGTATGAGAGTTGTTTTTCTCAATAATACAATACAAGTAATCTAAAATAGAGATTTAAAAACTTTATTAAAGAAGTACTTTAAAGAGTTTTTGACAATTTAAGTAAAAATTTAACTTCATTTATTTATAATAATACTTTAAAATTAAAAACAAATTTAAAATAAACAATTATTTATTATTTTTTAGACTTTAATAAAGATAGTTTTAATCCACTATTTTATCTTATTTGTTGAGTTTTTCGACATTTTGATTTAGGATTAGTCGATCCTTTCTTTTCATGATAGTGACAAAGAAAGATTTATCCTGCCAAATATTCCGATACACCTTTATGAGTTTTGGTAAAATTAATTTAATTAATTTAAATTTAAACAAATTTATTCTCCTTTATAATTATGTTTTTGTACTTAAAATTGCACAAGTGTTTATTTTTAAATGATGTGTAATTTATAAAATGTAATAAAATATTATATAAAAATCTTAGTATAATTTTAAAGATAAAAAAATATTATTTATGAGTTATTAAAAATGGACACATCATTTATTGTATGAGAATGAAATAATTTTTTTTTATGAAACCTTAAAAATTAAAAAGATAGTCATGTATAGTTGAAAAACTATACATTTTTATTTATAAAAATTAAAATTTATGCTTATAAAATTATAAATTTATATTATAAATATCTTTAATAAACTTTTTTTTTTGAATAAAGAGACTTTATATAAACCAAAAGAGAATATACAAGGGTACAAAGCACCCCAAACACAAAGCAACCAAAAAAACCCAACTAAACTATAAGAAGTTTAGCTATATGATGTCTCATTCTAGTATTAACCCACCCTCTATTTGCAAGGGTAGAAATGACTAAATCTCTAATCTCTAAAGTATTCACTGGATTGCCAAATACGACATTGTTACGATAAACTTCATAGATGGTTTCAGCTACAGAACTACGCAAGATGCACTTCCTCCAGCCTTTCCCTTTACATTGTGTGATTAACCACTCAAGTTCTTCACGCCACTCACAAGGGCAATGTTGAAACCCCAAGCACACCAGAATTTGCTGCCAACAGTTTTTAAACGGCAGGTAATCGAATAAGAGATGATCAATTATTTCCTCCTTGTTGCAGAATTTACAGCTGTCGTCGGTCATGAGGCCAAACTTTTTGAGTCGTCCCCTTGTCGCAAGTCTATAGTGGCAAGCCATCCACATAGCAAAAAGGGCTCTCGGTCTAACAAAAGTTTTGGATAACATATGGTTCGGTGCCTAAGAATAGTCTGGAAAATCCAAGACATATCCTGTTTTTCCTGGACATGCAGGAGATCTGTATTTTTGAAATAAAATGTGTGGATCCATTTCACCTAAAGAGAATCCTTCTTGTTGCAAAGGTTCCACAGCAGTTTTGTTAAGCAAGCCGTGTTCCACTCTGATAAGTCCAACACATTCAGACCGCCCTTCCTCCGAGGTTTACAAACCATATTCCACGCAATTGAGGATTTTCGCGACTTCACCTCGCTACCTATCCACAGAAAAGTCATGCAAATAGAATTAATGGTTTTAATCACATGCTTGGGGAAAGGGAGACAGTTCATCCAGTAAGCTGCTATAGCAATAATGGTACTATTAATCAATTGGAGTCTGCCTGCATAGCTCAATAATTTGGAGCTCCAATGACGAATCCAACTAATAATTGTATCAACCAAACTCATATAATGATGCATTGGAAGTCTTTTACTTATGAGAGGAACACCCAGGTAACGAAAGGGTAAATCCCCTTCCATAAACGAAGTAGAAGCCTAGATGTCGTTTTTGGTCTCAATATCAGCCCCCCCGAAGTACACCCTACACTTCGCAGGGTTAACTTCAAGACCAGTGGACTAAGAGAGCATTTGCAGTTGCTCCATAAGCAGCTGCACAGACTTTCCATCCCCACGGGTAAAGAGGAGGACATCATCCGCAAAACCGATATCGATAATTTACAGCTTTTCGCATTTAGCATGGAATTTGAAATCAGGGATCCTACTTAACTGGTGTAGGAGTCTATGGAAGTACTCCATAGTTAAGACAAAGAGGAGGGGGGAAATAGGGTCACCTTGTCTCAGGCCCCTCTTAGCCTTCATGCTTCTAGTAATTATGCCAGCAACATTAAACTTGTAAGATACTATTGACACCACCAGCATTATCCATTTGGTGAATTTGTGAGGGAACCCAAATTCCTTTAGGATACACTCAAGTGCATACCAGTCCAGGGTATCATAGGCTTTTTGGATGTCAAGTTGTAACAGACATCTAGGAGTACCGCCTTTTTTGATGTAGCCTTGGATTAACTCGTACGCTAATAAGATATGCTCATGGATGTTCTGCCCAGGGATGAAAGCAGTCTGGCTTTGATTGATTATACTGGTAAGAACTTTGCTCAATCTTCTAGTCAATATTTTTGATATGATCTTGTAAAGAGTAGTACAACAAGATATTGGCCTAAAATCCTTCACCCAATTACCACAATTTCCTTTAGGGATCAAGGAGACAAGAGTACAATTCACAGCAGGGTACAACTTGAAATTATTGAAAAAATCCATAACATCAGCAGTGGTGTCGTTTTTAATGATACTCCATGATGCTTTGAAAGATTTTGCCCCAAAACCATCAACACCAGGGGCTTTCAGGTCACCAATATCATTGAGTGCACTATATATTTTAGCTTCAGTGATGGGACATTCCAACATGTCTTTCTGTTCACTAGTAAGATGGGAACCGTCTCTCATTGCAGTCAGGTTTATACCCTTCATGTCATTATTAGGACTCCCCATGAGGCTGCAATAAAAAGACAGCACCTCATTCTCAATGTCCCCAGTCGTGCTAAGGATGTCACCTGCCACCATACACAGCTCAGTAATAACTCTGTTGTTTTGTATAGCTTTTACTTGGGCATGAAAAAAATATGTTGTTGCCATCTCCCAGCCTGAGCCAACTGATTTTAGACCTCTGCCTAAGCACCTGTTCCTCAATTTCACTCCAATAGACCACCTCAGCTGACCTAGTTTTTACAAGTTGAATAACCTCAGGATTATCAAGGTTCTCCCTTAGCTTCAGCTGGGCCTCTTGTAAATTTTGTCTTGCATTCTTGAGGGCAGCAGTGGCACCCACCAATGGTTTACTAATTTGCTTCATAACATTTTGGCTTCTAATCAGCTTTTTCCACATCACAAACATGGGACTACCCTGGATAGGGGCATTCCAACTATTAGCAATGGCTTCCTAAAATCCCTCAACCTCAGTGGCACAGTTTAGGAACTTGAACTGGGGGGTTCTTTTCACAGAATTTTCAGGACAAGACAGCAACAACAAAGCATGGTCAGAAATATCAGGGGTAAGGATCTTTAGGCACATATTGATGTACTTTTGAAACCACTCAGTGTTAGCCAGCCCATGATCAATCCTAGAATGGATGATATTGTCACCTTGCCGATTGGACCAGGTGTAATAATCTCCAACACTATCCATTTCACTAAGATTACAGTTGTTCATCATATCAGTAAGTCCTTATACTCTCTCATCTGCACCATGGAACCACCTCTTCTGTTACCAGTATGAACAACATTGTTAAAATCACCAATAAGGAACCACTGCCTCTGTTGATTATGGTGAATGTGCTCAATATCACTCCACAGTTTCTTATGATGATCCAGTCTGTTTGCACCATACACTGCAGTAAGCCAGAATTGGAAAACACCCTGCATATCATAGACACCACAGTGAAGTAGTTGCCCAGTGCTAGTGACTTTCTTGATATCAGTCTTAGCATTGTTCCACCAGATCCATATTCTTCCATTCGCATGGTCAACATAGTTGTCCACAAACGAACCTTTAAGCTTCAGTTTGCATCTAATTTTGTCAGCCTTATCTTGCTTCACTCTAGTCTCAAGCAAAATACAAATCATAGGGTTAAGAGAATGGAGGCGGGAGCTAACCTCTTTAGTCTTAACCATCTTATTCAGGCCCCTCACATTCCAAGCCACTAGCATTGGTTATTGTTTTGGCTGCTCCCAGGGTCATTCAAAACCCCCAGCAACCCAAAACCATTTAGGCATTGGATAACCCCATCTTCACTGGCAGTTCCTTTTCCTTTCCCTTTGCTGTTGCTAGTGGTCATCGTCGAAACCTCATCATTCTGTTGGATATCGCTACTAGTATCCCCTATTGCTATTGTTCCACTTGTAATAGCAGTTGTTTGCATCTTTTCCTTTTGTGGCTGCTCTTCCACCTTCACCTTCCATTCTTTAGCAGGCTTAACAGGCTTATCACAATTATGATCGACCTTGTGGCATCGTTGACAGTATAGTGGTTTCCACTCATACTCAATCGGCTGTTTCAGTCGTGCACCCTTTTTGTCTCTTATCAGAATATATGTCTTTAGCTCTTGTGTGATGTCAATTTCCACCAGGATATATGAAACCCTGAGCTTGTTTGCCGTGCATTCATCTGTCACCAGCGGTGTTCCTAACGCACTGCCTATTTTACTAAGAATCCTCACGCCCCAAAGATGTAGAGGGAGCTGGGGTAGTTTTACCCACAACGGAATTGTTCTAAGCATATCCTTGTTCATACTGAAATCTGGTTTCCACTAACACAGCATCATTGGTCTATTACGGATTGAGTACGACCCCTTCATCAGAACTAGGTCTTTGTCTTGGAATGAGTGGAAACGAAGGATGAAGAATCCTTCCTTATTATAGAACATATCCAGTAATTTCACAAAATTCCAGCTTTTGCTCATAAACTGTTTCACCGCATTCATGCTTAGGTCTACACCCAAGACGTACATGATGAGGGCAGATTCCCAGAATTTTACTTCCTTTTCAACATCTTCCTCTTTAATTTGGATTTCCATTTCTCCATCAATAATCTTTGGTGCAACAAATTCCATGGTGAGACCTGTAACACCCCCTTTCTATACCCCCAAAATAAACAATTAAGTCATTTAGGCACTTAATAAAATTCCATCAGAGTATAATTATAACATGGTATAAAAGAGGCGTGTCACATTATCATCGAAACGAAACATAAATAATACATGCTCATAAAGATATGTAACAAAAGGGGTAAATCTCAACTAAAAATAAAGCATATCGCTTAAAACCCACATATCAACATTTAGAATAAAGCGGAAACATCTAAACGTTGAAATCACTTCATTAACATAAGCATTCTATACATCATTCAGATTAATTCAATTCATCAGTTAAGTTTACAAAACATTCATCAACAGATACATACACAGATGTATCACAAAAGAATCAAACAATTCCTAACTACCCAGTGTTACATATCAGAGCCATCTGACCAAAAGAAATGAAGACTCGCTTCACAAAAGACCTCCAGCATCCTACTCTGCAATGCCTCATAGAGCATTATAAAACAGCAGAAGGGTGAGAAACATTATCATAACAAACAAAGCATAAAATTATATATATATATATATATATATATATATATATATATATATATATATATATATATATATATATATATATATAATATATATATATATATATATATATATATATATATATATATATATATATATATATATATATATATATATATATATATATATATATATATCATAAACCACAATTATAACATACACGAAATTCATATTTCTCACCACCACTTGTTACAACACGTCACCATGTACACGTACATAACAATCACATTCACCAATTCATGCTTCACAATTCATAGCATTTCACTTAAACCTTTACAATTATGTTCATTTCACCAAGACTTCATATAAATATGATAATGCAACTCATAGAGACCGACTCACGACTCTATGCAGATGTAAATGCGGCACCGACTTATTCAGCAGGTTCAATTGAAGAACCAAAATGGAACCATCGCTCGTTGCCGAAGTAACTCCCCGTCGGGCCTATGATGTTAACCCATCGCTCACACCCCACATGGGCACACGACGTTTCAGGATTACTCACACCCCACACGGGCACACAATCCGGTTGCTCACACCGCACAAGGGCACACAACTGCTCTGAAGATTCTCCACGAAATCAAAATAAATCATCGCTCACACCCCACAAGGGGACACGATCGTTTCTACAGATCCTCCTAGGGATCAAAGTTACTAAACCATCACTCACACCCCACAAGGGCACACGAGGTTTCTGCAGATCCTACGCGGGATCAGACACACAAGAATGCAATCATGATGCTACACATGCAACACGACTCTAAAC